GGAGCTGCCACACCACCCCTTCCCCCCACATCACAGCGCCTTCAGAACAAGGCTCCTGATTGGCTGAGGGAGACCTCAGGCCTTCCACCCTTGGGCGCCCTCTGACTGGGGTCCCCGGGAGCTCCCTGGCTCGGGGAGAGGTGGCCGGGGAGACAGGAAGTCCAGCGGGCAGAGGGGCGATGGGCATCCTTTGGTGACCCTCCCGTGGGCCAGGGCGTCCGGCCTGCAGTGCCCACAGGGGCCACACGGGGGCAGCAGAGCATAGGGCTGCCTTTGGGTGCCTCGGCTCCGGAATCCCAGGATGGAGAGGGGATGCCGTCCGGTTCCCACCCCTTCACTCTCTTCCTCTGTGAACCGCCTCGGGAGGTAGCAGCTTCGGGGAAGGGACAGGTTTCCAAAAGGCATCAGAAGGCGGGCTGATCCGAGAGGGTCCTCGAATCCCTCCAGGCCCCGCCCTGGCCAGCAGCTGGGGAAACTGAGGCTCCAAAAAGTTCACGGCGGTGCCATGTCCTCCAGCAGCCAGGCTCCCAGTCCAGGTCTCCCCAGGCACCCTCGGCCCTTCCCGCAGGAGCATCTGCCGGTGTGAACCCCGAGAAAGGCGATAATGCCAAGAGGGGCTCCTGGGGACCAGCTGGGCTCAAAAACAGGGGAAAACGAGCCCAGCAGCCATGTCACCCATGGGCCTCGCATGCACAGAGCTGCAGGGAGAAGCCTGCCCTGATCCCCCGCCTGCGTCCGCCCTGAGCCGGCCCTTACAGGCCGTCCTGGAGCCCGACCTCCATCAGGACAGAGATGCCCCGTCCAATGGGAGCTACTCAGCTGTATCTGCCCCCCTCCACCCGAGTTTTGGACCAATCAAACTGTGAGGATTTGAAGTCCTCTTTTGCATGAGGACAAACCAATCAGGGGCCAGGGGTGGGCCTTCTGTCTACATAAGTGAGCTCCCCGCTGGCCCTGTGCTAGTGCCCTGTCCTCCCCTCCCCGGGACTGGAGGCTGTTTCCTTGGCTGGAGCTGAACCACTGATGGTGAAATGTTAGCCTCAGAACAGAGCATGGAGCGGGCAGTGCCGATCCCAGCCGCCAGCAGGGCAGGGGCAACGGCCGAGCTGCTGCATCATTGAGCTGTGACACTATTATCACAGCCAAGCTGTCTGCACTGAATAAAGTTTCCTTCGTCACCACTCCCCACGGGGTGCACCCCACACTGGGGCTTCCTGTCAGCATGGAATTGGTGCCAACGACCACTGGTGACCTGGGTGCCTGGGGGTAGCATCTCCAGAATTTGCTGTCTTGACGGGAGATGGAAACACACACGAGTACAGGGTCAGACAGAGGAACCAATGCCACACTAGGTGGAGAGGGACTAAGAAGGGGGAGAGGTTTGTGTCGATCAGGAGGGGATTGGAGGGTGGGGTCCAGGAGGCCACCCTGGAGGCGGCAGCACTTGACCCTGGCCTTGGGTGGAGTAAGAAGCTGATCCCGCTGGGTGGTGGGAAAGATGGGACTCCGGGTGGAGGGGTGGCCTGGGAGAAGGCAGGGCAGCCGGAACTGCAGAGCAGAGGTCCTCTCTTAGGGACGCAGGAAATTCAAGGCCAGGCGCAGACGCCTGCCTGCACCCTGAGCTCCCCGCAGGCCGCCTTTGGAAACAGGGGCCGCCTTGGCTCTGGAATGTTCCTGAATTCCATTACCATGAAAGTGCAGAAAATGGCAGTTCTCCAGATGAGCTCATGTGGAGGTGGGAGTAAACAAGTGGTCTCCATGGCAACTGTGGGGCTCGGTTTTGCCCCCCTGAGATCTGGAGGCCAGCCCGGAGGAGGCAGGCAGCCACTCCTCATTCCTAGGCCGTGACTCGGACCCGCAGTGCCGCAGAGCTGCTGGCCACGGGGCCCCTTACGAACCCCAGAGCCGGCTGCTGGAAGCCTCGGTGGTGAGGGGGTGCCCATGGAGCCCAGGGCCACCTCTCCGCCTCCCAAGGTCAGGGCTCCTGCAGAGGGCAGCGGTCCCATCGGCTGCGCTCCCTGCCCGCCAGGGATGCAGGGTGGAGGCAGTGAGGCGGCGGTGGAGGCACCAGTGGGGCTGGGCGCCCAACAGGACGCAGGGGATGTAGGGGCCACTAGGTCAGCTTCGCTGCTTCGACCAGGAAAGGCCTGGAAGATGCCACCTGGCCCTGACCTCTGCCCCCAGCGTCCGGCCGGCCTCCTGCCCGCCCACCAGCTCCGCCTGAGGCTCTGCTCCCCCACTCCACCCCCCGCCTCCTGGAAGCTCAGGCTTCAGGACTCCAAGGTCAGAGGTGAGAAGGGATCAGGACCAGCTCTGGTCTTTCGCAGCTGGGGGGCGGGGGCTCCTTATTTGGCCCCCCGAGCCTCAGTTTCCCCACCTGGATACTGGTAAAACTGGGACAGACAGAACCCCTTCCTGAGATGGGGTGGAAGCCGGAGGAGGAGGGCCCGCTGCCCGGGGCCTGGCTCGGTAGCTGCTCAGTGACCGACCGGCACCGCTGCCACCGCAGGTGGCCTCCTGTCCCATGTCCGGGCCGATGTCCAGGGCGTGCTCGCGGCTGCCCCGCGGAAGGCCCTCGGTCGGCTTTGCATTCACAATGAACCCGTTGTCACTGTCCCCGCGTCGTCCTCCCGCCAGCGTGTCTGACAGGGAACTGCACTGTGACCCCATCACACGCTGAGCCAGCGCCGAGGCGCACAGAGCTCCCCTCAGGCCGACATCCGGC